TATAAAATGGTAATAAAATATGAGCAGAACTCAGAGTTATCAGGGGCCGTATTCACAAAGAATTTTAAGGATAAAAGTAACTCCTAACTGGCGAATTTAGGAGCAACTCCTAAAAATAATGGGCGTGTCACTCCTAACTTTAGGACTCCTAATTTTTTTCACTAAGAGTAATTCACGAAGCATTTTAGCCCTAAAAGTAGCACCTAAGTCTGGGACAGCTTAAAAGAAGTCGAGAGGACTCCTAACTCACTAAGACCAATTCACAAAGGATCGTAGCCGCACACCACCGCCTCTTGCAGTCGTCCGGGGTCGCGCGACACAAGCGGGAATGCTGCATTGATCTGAAAACAAATCCTCTCCCATTCTCACGCTTACTGTGCGTTCACACCGCCGCCGGCGAGAGCGTCAAAGTGGCCGGAAGTCATTCATTTTCAATGAGAGCCGGCGGCGAGCTCCGGTCGAGGGCGGCGCGGCGCGTCTTGGACGGTGAGAGCGGCGAGGAGAAGTTGAAATCAGCTCAACTTTATGGTAATGAGCTATGATGCGGTTCGGCGGCAACCAATCGGAATGCAGAAGTGCTCCGTTTGAGAGGATTCCAGAGAACGCAGTTCAAGTAACTTTGGTTCCGACCACATTAGTTCCCAAGCAAAATAGAGGAGAGGTTGATCATTTGAATTTCATAAGAAGGCGCGCAAAACTATTTATAGGCAAGATGTTCGCGCTAGAACGCTTGTTTTTCAGCTGGAATGCAAATTAGAATAGCACTTAACCATGAACACAAAAGCCACACCACACAAATGGCTTTTAATTGGTTTATTTCGTTAGCAAACATGTCACTATAATTAAGTTCTTTCCATCGATCAATTTTCTGCAAAAATAACGATCGACATGCTTGTTTGCTTTACGGCCCCTTTAAAAAAAGTTTTAAAAAAGACCAAACACTCGATCTACGTCAGAGCATCAGAGCGTCCACGAATCTTTCCACGGCGTCGCTGGCAGGGCGGTGTGAACGTACAGTTAGTTTTGCTTGATATCCTAGTGCCGAATTTCCCTTTTATTATAATTTTTTTTTTCCCAGCACCAGCTGGGCCAGCAGCAGTAACTGATCCTGCGTCCAGTTGGGCTTTCTTTTCCGTTTTGGCGAGTTCATAATCCACCGTCATTCAACTATTACATTACTTCAATAGGAGCAACATTTCCTTGCTTTAAGTAGTCTATTTAGGCTAATAGGATGTCAATTAACCAAGCAAGTGTTAATGCAAGTGTCGTTTTTCATTATTAGACAAGTGGTGGTTTTCATTAGGGTATTAGGCACCATTCACATATAGCGCCTAAAAACGCGTAGAAAACGCTAGGCGCGCCGCGTTCTCCTTTTTCCAAAGCGCTAGGGCGGTTGCACTCCGGTTGGTTCTTGTCACGTGACCTACGGTGCGCTTGCGGCATTCTGAAAAGTTGAGATGTTTTTATCTCGATGCGGCGCGGACGTGCTTGTAAAAAACGAGCGCGTTTCACCGCGTCGCTTCCATTATTCTCTCTCTCTCTCTCTCTCTCTCTCTCTCTCTCTCTCTCTCTCTCTCTCTCTCTCTCTCTCTCTCTCTCTCTCTCTCTCTCTCTCTCTCTCTCTCTCTCTCTCTCTCTCTCTCTCTCTCTCTCTCTCTCTCTCTCTCTCTCTCTCTCTCTCTCTCTCTCTCTCACAGATAAGACACAGACTTATTTAGATGTCGTAATTTCATGATTTGTTGCGTCTGTGTTATGTACCGCATGATGACCCTGTCATCTTAACACCCAATCACCGTGATCATTGCGAGGAAGCTCGTGCATGATAATTGACGTCATCCATAGCAACGAAGACTCATAGTTTAGGAGTTGTCATTTTTCCTTACTAAGAGTAGGTCTGAAAGGCGTTGTGAATAACTTTTAAGAGAAAACTCCTAGCTAAAATATTTTAGTGCGATTTAGGAGTACTCCTAGTGGTAAAATAAAATTCTTTGTGAATACGGCCCCAGATCAGTGGATATTCGACTGGTTATGTCCGTCCTTCTGTTAGACTCTCACACATGAATTATGTTGAATATCTGTCAGCTGTTAAATATAACTACACAATTAGATAATACCAGTTTAGCTCAACCAGTGACCAAGCAATGCTTCATGTTGTTCAGTGTGTGTGTAAAAAGAGCATTAGCAATTACAGAAAACACACTGAAGAAAACATTTTTATACATTTGACTGGTAGTCACTGTATGAAGAATATTTGGGTGTAATATGTCTCAGTTTACTTTATTTTGCTCTCCTCACTTACATAAATGAACTATATTGTCCTGCACCAATGTCTGAATAATGTTTGGTTTGACTGTATGTTGTTGTAAGTTGTATTCGATCACTTTCAGACTCATATTACCAATAGTCTGACAGCATGTCTACAAGCGTTGACCTTCCCCATATTCATATGCACAGATGATATGATCTCCAGTGATGCCTGGTTTGCTTTCAGGACTACCATAAGATCATTAAACAGCCGATGGACATGGGCTCCATCAAGAGACGGCTGGAGAATAACTACTATTGCAGCGCCGGCGAATGTCTGCAGGACTTCAATACCATGTTCACTAACTGCTACATTTACAATAAGGTGTGTGTGTTGCAATGGACGCATTAGTAAGGTTGGGAATCGAATACTTGTTATAAGATTAAAATTTCAATTCCTTTGTGAGCATTTCAATATGATTTTAAAGGGGAGGTTCAGGATTTTGGACATCGGGCCTCATTTCCAAGTTAGCCTGGGTGTTATTTAGCAGTGGAGACAGTTTACACAATGTCATCCAGTCGTTCCAGTTGCATAGTTCGCCGGTGCTAGGCTAGCGCGAGTCAACGGTATCTGCTAGCCTTCCATTAAAAACAGTTTTACCCGCTCCACAGTTCACCAAACGCAAATACATTATAACGCCAGACTATCCATGTAAATGTCTGTTGAGAGAATGATGATAGAAATCAAACTACCCTTTCATTGCATTGCAATACTTTGTTCCCTGTATTTATTAGCGCAGTCTACAGCAGCGGCGGAGTGATATTAGGTTACCGAGCCGGTCCACATGACAATCATGCAAGTGTATTTACCTGCCGCTGACACTCATAACTACAGAAGCAGAGTATATTTCACGAAGATGAAAAATTTAGATATGCACACCCGAATCACCATGTTGCCAATTGACCTATGGCTAAGCCACGCCCCCAAACACGATGAGCCAATCACAGTGATCATAGCTAACTCAATACACTCGGACATTCTCTGCTTCCACGTCCATTGAAATGCATTGCAGTTAGTCAGTTTTCATTCGTTTTTATGTTTTTTCTTGTCATTTTAAGTTTAAAATGGTCAAACGGTGTGCATGGGGTACTCCGACACTAGGCATCCCGAGAGGCTGGGCGACAGTGTGTATTTTTTACCCTTTCCCAAGCCACATCTCAACCGAGATAAGTAACTTATCTGCTCTGGATAAAGTTATGCGGTAGACCACAACACCAACTAAACGTGGATAAATTAAACAAGGATGTCTACATCTGTTCTAAGTCAACAACGTATTTGAACGTTATCTTTAACATCTCTAACGTAACGTTAGGCTTACATTAGAAAACGTTGACGTTAGCTTCTAGCTGCGTTGTACATCATGTCACTTGGCTTCATTAACGGATCTTTAAAGTCCCCGTGAACCGGAAGTTGCAAACAACTTTTCTCCAGTGTTGTGACGTATTTCCGAGAGAAACGGAATACTAAATGAGGCAAAATAGTGGGCGTGGCTTTTTTCCCAACTAGCACCTGATTGGATCTAGAAAAGTAGGTGTTTTCATTCAGCCTGTCTACTGTCAGTTGGAGGGGGCGTGGCTACGGATGTTAAGCAGACGCCCAAACCGTCAAACCTACGTCAACAGGGAAGGTCCTCCAATGCAGAGGGGAGGGGAAATTTCAGATTTTGATTAAAGATTACGAAGACAAAAATTTTTTTTGTGTGGATTGACTTGCATGGATGAACTGTTCACCACAAAACGATCAATTTAGGCAAACAAAGTAAGTATGGTCAATTTTGAATTCATGGGGACTTTAAATAACCGAGATAACAAATGTTATGATCAATTTAGGCAAACTAAATTGCCTACTGCTAACATTTGTTATCTCGGTTATTTAAAGTCCCCATGAATTCAAAATTGACCATACTTACTTTGTTTGCCTAAACAAAGTAAGTATGGTGCATGAACAGTGCTGGTCCTCGATCTTGTTGTCTGAGATGGTGATGGCAACGAGATGCGGTTTATCACGTTTACACTGTGCATTTTTGCCTGGAGCTGAAGCTTTTCATCGACCTTCTCAACAATAAAATTATTAATATAACCCTCCAATGAATAGTTAAAGGTGAACTAAGTAACTTTTTTACCTTAACCGAACAGCTTTGGAGTCATTGTAATGTTTGTATTACTGATTTCGTGTTGAATGGTGGTCGTCTCGCACCCCCCTGGTGCCTGTGAGCCGCAAAACCACCCTTGCAACTTTGGGCCGGAGAGCCGCCCAAAGTATCGTGTGATATCAGGTCTCGCGAGGTAACGAATTGCTTTACGGCAAAAAACAGATCTGATAAAATTCTGATAAAATGAGCATCAAACAGAAATAACCCGGCGCCGTATACATGTGGTGTTGGGCGCGCGCAGCTCTTAAAGGGGCCATACCTTATTTCCACTCGTTACAGCGTCCATCCTACTGAACAGGTACCGGTGTACAGGGGGAGGGGATCCGGCCGTGAGTGCGAGCCATCTCTGTGTGAGTGCTATTCACGACAGTACAAGTACTCCACAGCGACTCTAGGGGTCGCTGTTTGACAAAAACGGAATTCCTACTTAGTGCTGCTTTAAAGGGATACTCCACTTTTTTTGGAAATAGGCTCATTTTACAACTCCCCCAGAGTTAAACTGTTCAGTTTTACCGTTTTTGAATCCATTCAGCCGATCTCCGGTTCTGGCGGTACCACTTTTAGCATAGCTTAGCATACATCATTGGAGTGGACAAGACCATTAGCATTTCTAAAAAAAAAATGACCAAAGAGTTTCGATATTTTTCCTATTTAAAACTTGACTCTTCTGTAGTTACATCGTGCACTAAGACCGACGGAAAATGTAAAGTTGCGATTTTCTAGGCTGATATGGCTAGGAACTATACTCTCATTCCTGCGTAATAATCAAGAAACTTCACTGCCGTACCATGAGTGCAGCAGGCGTAATGATATGACGCAGCGCCTGAAAATAGTTCCGTTGTGTTGACGGAAGGTGGCCTATTTTCAGGCGCTGCGTCAAAAGTGCTAAAAGTGGTACCGCCAGAACCGGAGATCGGCTGAATGGATTCAAAAACGGTAAAACTCAACAGTTTAACTCTGGGGGAGTTGTAAAATGAGCCTATTTCCAAAAAAAGTGGAGTATCCCTTTAAGGCCCTTTTGGTGACTTCGAGATGATATATAATCTTTCTGTCTCCAAAAATCATCAATTGCCTCCTGTGAAATGTCTCCTACTGTGACAGCTGCCATAGCGCCTGTCACCGAATGTGGACTGTGTGTCCGAGTGAGTGGAGGGGGCGTGGCTTAGCCATAGGTCAATTCCTTCGTTTACAATCGAATGTTTCAATATGACTGTAGTGCGCTTCTGTTCTGTGTTTACTTTTCGCCGCAGTACTACTAACCGGAGCAAAGTAAAATCCCGCCGCTGCTGAGAAACTAGTTCCTGTAAATGTAATGCGATCATTGAGATGCAAGAGTAGTTTGATTTCTAACATTCTCTCAACAGACATTTACATGGATAGTCTGGCGTTATAATGTATTTGCGTTTGGTGAACTGTGGAGCGGGTAAAACTGTTTTTAATGGCAGGCTAGCAGATACCGTTGACTCGCGCTAGCCTAGCACCGGCGAACTATGCAACTGGAACGACTGGATGAACATTTTGTGAAAACTGTCTCCACTGATAAATAACACCCAGGCTAACTTGGAAATGAGGTCCGATGTCCAAAATCCTGAACCTCCCCTTTAAACTATTCAGAAAACTGTTTTCTGTGCTACACGTGTATCAGTATATTAGATCCGTGCGGCTCTTAAAGTGACAGCAGCCTAATATTTCTGCCGTCTCTATAATAACACTGAATTTTCTCTCTGTCTTTTGTTGTTTGATTACTCGTCTTGACTGAATTACTTTTGTATCTATATTTGTAAGTGTTATCTGCAGTGTTATTTTACATTTGATTCCAGTTTCTGTACCTGAATAATACATGATAATCTTAAAACACTATTTCAGCTAGTTGTTTTTCTATGGTATTTTCAAAGTCAAATGGTTATAGGTGACATGAAGAATATGCGTCATTTCATATTTAAAATAAGAGTTTGTACTTTCTAGATGTACTTGAATGCTGTCAGAACCATGCATGTATTAATATACGTCCACCTACACTTCCGTTCATAAGTTTTGTCTCAGGAAAATAAACAAATATTACCAATAGTCAGCAATAAAACCAATTTATTCAGCAAGGACGCATTAAATTGATCAAAGTGTATAATACTTCCAATGATTCCATTTCAAATAAATGCTTTTCTTTTTAACTTTCTATTGATCAAAGAATCCTGGAAAGGAAATTATCGCTGTTTCCACTGTGTTCAACATTGATAATAGTCATAAATGTTTCTTGCTCATCAAATCATCATATTAGAGTGATTTCTGAAGGATCATGTGACACTGAAGACTGGAGTAATGATGCTGAAAACTCCGCTTTGATCACAGAAATAAATTACACTTTACTAGATATTCATATAGAAAATAGCTACTTAACATTGGAATAATATTTCACAATTTTAGTGTTTTTACTGTATTTGTAATCAAATAAATGCAGCCTTGGTGTTTTTTCAAAAACATCCTTCCAACCACAAACAATTGAACGGTTTGATGTACTAAAGGGAAATTATTTGGAAATGCTTTTACATGCAATCTTAAAATGTTTGCATTCCCTCTGAAAACTTTTGTGTTCTTTGCAAGTAAGAGGAAAGTTTCTCGGGGGAACGCAAACATTTGCGATTTAGATATTTCCAAATAATTTCACATTTTCTCCATGTCCCTTTAGGGGCTCCGTACTGTTCATACCTGCCGTCCGCCTGCATGTACATGTCCACAACAACTGATGCCGCTGAATTGTTTCTCAGCCCACAGATGACATTGTGCTGATGGCACAGTCTCTGGAGAAGGTCTTCTTACAGAAAGTTGCCCAAATGCCCCCGGATGAGGTTGAGTTTCTCCCTCCGACTCCTAAAGGTAGAGGAGCTAAAACCATTAAAGGTCGCAGAGGCCGAGGTGAGTTGCACCGTCATAATCTAGTGTACATTTGTAGCTTATTCTTGCTAAGAAAACCCCGTTTAGATGTTAAAGTCCCCCTGTGGTCCCAATCAAGCTTTTATAAGTGGTGTTTTTAATATGCTTTAAGACAAACCATGTGTAAGTTCATAAGTCGACAGCATTGCTGAGTATTTTCTGCTTAAAACTGCAGTGAACCAAAGACAGTCTCAAAAACACGGTTTGAAATCGCTGGTGTTTCTGACGTCACAAACAACCTTGTAACCAATCAGATCAACGTGTGATCGTCAACCAGTGGATCTCTGAGTGAGTGAGTGAGTGGAGGCGGGGCTCATTTGCATATTCATAGAACCACGCATACTAAATGAGGCAGTTTTAAGGAATTAAATGATTGACTACAGGGGGACTTTAAGCTGTTAATTAGTCTTTCTGTCACTTTGGCAAAACTTTGTAATAATTGCATCTGATAATGTATTGTTTCCATCAGGAGGAGGAAGTGTGCTGACGGCTCACCAGGTGCCGGCGGTGTCTCAGTCGGCGTACTCTCCTTCCTCACCCGAGACGCCAGATTCACGGTTCTCCACTCCTCCACAGACCCTGCTGAGCAACACTGCTCCTCCCCCACCACTGATGACCCCCCCACCCACTCAACCCACGGCAAAGGTACACACACACACACACACACACACACACACACACACTCAACCCACGGCAAAGGTACACACATACACACACAGACACGCACACACACTCACTCAACCCACGGCAAAGGTACACACACACTCACACACACACTCAACCAACGGCAAAGGTACACACACTCATACGCACGCACACTCACACACGCACACACACACACACACACACACACACCCACTCAACCCACGGCAAAGGTAAGCACACACACACACACACACACACACACACTCAACCCACGGCAAAGGTACACACACACTCACACAGACACGCACACACACTCACTCAACCCACGGCAAAGGTACACACACACTCACACACACACTCAACCCACGGCAAAGGTACACACACTCATACACTCACACAAACACACACTCACTCAACCCACGGCAAAAGTACACACACTCATACACTCACACACACACACACTCATTCAACCCACGGCAAAGGTACACACACACTCACACACACACTCAACCCACGGCAAAGGTACACACACACTCACACACACACTCAACCCACGGCAAAGGTACACACACACTCATACACTCACACGCACACACACTCACACACGCACGCACGCACACACACACTCTGTCATACACACACTCTTACACACACTCTTTTTCACACACACACACACACACACACACACACACACACACACACACACACACACACACACACACACACACACACTCTCTCGCACTCTCACACACACACACTCTCTCATACACACACTCTCTTACACTCACACGCACACACACTCACACACGCACGCACGCACACACACACTCTGTCATACACACACTCTTACACACACTCTTTTTCTCACACACACACACACACACACACACACACACACACACACACACACACACACACACACACACACACACACACACTCTCTCGCACACTCACTCTCTCACACACACACACTCTCTCATACACACACTCTCTTACACTCACACGCACACACACTCACACACGCACGCACGCACACACACACTCTGTCATACACACACTCTTACACACACTCTTTTTCACACACACACACACACACACACACACACACACACACACACACACACACACACACACACACACACACACACACACACACTCTCTCGCACACTCACTCTCTCACACACACACACTCTCTCATACACACACTCTCTTACACACACACACTCACACTCTCTCACACACACGCACACTCTCACACATACACTCACAAAAATGCACAAGCCCACAATGTACAGAGATCTGTTGTCAGAGGAAACTAAGTTATGTATTACAGAAATGTACATATACAAAATCACAGTAAGCGAAAAGGTATTAATTTAACAATGTAATAATTTAATGCAGAAACAATGAGCTCATTGAAGTAATGAATACTTGTTTGTTAACACATGATTATGACATTTAGAAAAATGTGAAAAACAAACTTTTCAAATTGTGACTGAATTTCACACAGCAAGAAGAGATTGCTTTTTATAATCACTGAAGCTGTCACTCAGTTTAGTTCGACACTATAGAGTACAACATTTAAAATATTTAATGATACTGTTTTTTTTCTCTCTCAAAATTCTGCAGTAAATCTCCCAAAAATCTGAGACTAAATAAATTGTGCTCTATATTCCGAGTCTTCACAAGCCATTCGTCTGATGATTCGCTTGTCTTCTGCCATTGCTCTCGTTTACAGCTTCTGATTGGTTCATTTGTAAGTATGTAGTTATCACGGCCACTAACAGCGACGCTTATGTCTCTGTTGTCTCTGCAGAAGAAGGGCGTGAAGCGTAAAGCCGACACCACCACTCCCACTACTCTCGGCTTCCCCGTGACCTCGGCGGCTCGGATGGGAGGAATGGGAAAAGGTCACGGATCGTCCGGAGAGATTCCTCACTCTCTGTCCTCCACGGCTGTAAACTGCTCTCCCAGTACAGGAGTGAACGAGCCCACGCACCTCCAGCCCGCCTTGGGTCGACCCCTGTCCCGTCGGCCAATCAAACCTCCCCGTAAAGACCTCCCCGAGTCCGTGCGACCCCATCAGCCCTCGCGGCGCGGGAAGCTTAGCAAGCAGCTTCGCTACTGTAGCGGCGTCCTTAAAGAACTGCTGTCCAAGAAACATGCGGCGTACGCCTGGCCCTTCTACAAACCCGTGGACACGTCAACACTGGGCCTGCACGACTACAACGACATCATCAAACACCCCATGGACCTCAGCACCATCAAGGTGACATGCATGAACCACCTTACTTTGACCTTTCTTAGTAGTTTTAATAATCATTTGGGAGCTTTTTACTTGCATTAGGCTTGTATTCTTGATGCAAAATTGGGGTTAGACTTTAGTTCATGGTCTCACTATTAACTACATTCGAACCAAAGTTTATTCAGACACCTTCAACATTTCTCACATTATCACAGTTTATTTGCTATTAGAGCCCGACCGATATGGATTTTTGGGGGCCGATGCCGATACCGATATTAGGGAGTAAAAAAAGTCCGATACCGATATATCGGCCGATATTATTTATGTGTATATTATAATACTGTAGCAATATTATTTATGTGTATTATAGTACAGTATACCAGTCAAAAGTTTGGACACTTTCCTATTGGTGTGTACAAACTTTTGATGGGTACTTTACACAGTAGCTATAAACAGAATAAATATATTTTATAAACACGTTTTGCAATGATCACTCAAATGTGGTAATCAAACACTTGTGTGACACAGATATGTAATGGAGGCAGGGGGAATGATAGAATGAGAATTATACAGCTGAGCTGTAACCAAACTAGTTTGCATTGCATGTTATATTATATTATATTATATTCTAAATACTGTTGCATAATCTTCACTAACGACTTTGTCTTTTAATTTAGTCATAACTATATCAATAAATATATAAAAAGTGTCACTGACAACCTTATTATCTTCTATTTTTACTCTTAATTCCTCTAATCTCTACCAGTGGAGGAAGAACTCAGATCTTTTTACTAAAGTAAAATTAATAATATCATAATGAAAACGCTTTTAATTACATATGTACAGTACTTTTATACTATTTTAAATAATTAGTAAGCAAAACGTACTAAACGTGAAACTAGGCTACTCTTAATGCAAAATGGCCCTATATAAAGTGTTATAATTATATAAATTTTTGGAATATTGCTTGATGTTGTAACGTAGCGTTATCAGGCAGAATGAGCTTTAACACGGTGTCTACACCGGACGCGGCCGTGACTGCTCGCGTCGCAACAGCTGTTTACCCTAGACAAAGCAGAATCAGTTTACTGTCGGAGATCGCTCGCGCCACGCATTTTAATCAATGTTTCATCAACCAATTGCCTTAATAAATAAGAAGTAGGCCTAAATATAGCAGACAATATAATCAGGACTTCTCAGCTGCGCGCTTGCAATAGTCACAAGCTCATCATACGTGACAGAGGCTTGTAGCAGAGAAATCAATTCTGTGAATTACACTGCGCAAATCACAAATAGGCTACTACCCACCGGATGAAGAAGGGTTGGCTCTCAGTCTCCACAGGCTACATAAAATATTCATTTTATTTTATTTTATTTTTCGTGTCCGCATTTATGAGGAAAAAAACAATGTTACAGACGCGACAGTTCAGCACTACGGACGTGAGCGCTCTGAAAGCGGCACTAAAATATGCTTTGAAACTTTCACATAGACATCAAACAGAAAGCACAAAACCTTTCGTTTCAAAGTGAATTTCGTTTTGTATTAATTGTATCTTAATTTTAATCAATGTTTCATCAACCATTTGCCTGGATTTAATTTATAAGAAGTAAATTTAGCAGACGATAGATAATCTCGACACGGAGGCGCGTGCGGGTGAACTGGAGCTCGTCTCATGAACCGAAACTCAGCGTATAGACCTGAGAATTGAAATATAGCCTATCTTTATTGAAATGTCTACTTTTAAACAGAACAATTCAAAACGAAAGACAGACAGACTCATGTAATCATATGAAATGTGCATTTCTCTCTGGCACGCGTTCACTGAAGATCGCGAGTCAGCATCGTCAACTTCATCTTTGGCTGACACTGACTAAAAACACTTGTTTATTAATAAACAATTAAAATGTCTCCTTGCTATATTTGTTGTATTCATAATCATTACTTTTGCCAGTTCTTGTGACAGCTTTTAGGTGCTTTATTGGCAGCGCCACCCTTACATGAATCACCGCACCCGCATTTTTTAAATATTCATTTATCGGCCATTATAAATGCCGATACCGATAGTTTAGGGAAATGCCTAAAATCGGCCGATAATATCGGCCCGCCGATATATCGGTCGGGCTCTATTTGCTATAGTTTAGAAAATGGTAATACAATATGACAAGAACTCAGATTTTATCAAATCAGTTGACATATTTACACAGAAATATGTGTATCAGCACAACTGTTTTCAACATTGATAATAATCATAAATGTTTCTTGAGCATCAGATCATCATATGAGAGTGATTTCTGAAGGATCATGTGACACTGAAGACTGGAGTAATGATGCTGAAAATTCAGCTTTGATCACAGGAATAAATTACTTATATATTCAGTCATTTTAAATGGTAATAATATTTCAAAATATTACTTTTTTTTATTTTTTTATCTATCAAATAATATCAGCCATTGTTTTGAATTTGCAAAAATAATTCCTGAATTGAATCAGGAGCCAATGAATTGGGAATTTAATCGATTCATGTTGTAAAACACTAAGGTGATGTATGTAGCAAATTATCTCAAATTAATGCAGGAAAGTTTGTTTTAAGGTCTGTTTCTGTCTTTCCTATGGCCTGGGTCTTGACCACATGACCACAGCAATAAAGCCATCTTTTCTGCTCTTTTGGGGGGATGTTTCATTCCTAAGAATGGGCTTTAAAGCTTATTTGTTAAATGTAGCAAATCGTTGTGTGTCATGTAACATGTAACTAGCACTCCTCCTGTGTTGTGTGTTGCTCAGAGGAAGATGGACGAGCGCGAGTACAGAGACGCCCAGCAGTTCAGCGCCGATGTCAGACTCATGTTCTCCAACTGCTACAAGTACAACCCTCCCGAACATGACGTGGTCAGCATGGCACGGAAACTGCAGGTGCGCAAACTCAAACGCCTCTTCTGTTCTGTTGTACAGGGATGCTGAAATGCAAAATAACCTTAATGATCCTAAAATATGCTGGTTTTGTGCAAGCTGCTTAGTGATTTTAAGCTGGACATGTTAGAGAGGTTTGTTTGTTTTTGCTGATAACTAAAATGATTTTGAACTTTTATTTTGAATAAAATGATCTTTTTTATTTTATTTTGTAATTATTATTATTATTATTATTAGATGTTTTAAATTTATTATTATTACTCATTTAGTATTTTAAATATAATTATTTTTATTTGGAGGAAATAAAGCCTTGTTTATTAATCCAGCCTAGTTAAACAGCAATTTAAAAAACTTTATAATTTAAGTAAAATAATTATTTATTATTTTTTATTATTATTAGATGTTGTTTTTATTATTTATTTTTCATTTTAATGTTTAATGTTTTTATGCCTTAAATGATTTATATATTTATATATATTTTTATTTTTATTTTATTTTGTATTATTATTTTTAGATGTTTTAAATTATTATTATTACTCATTTAGTTTTTTAAACATTATTTATTAATTTATTTATTTGGAGGAAATAAATCCTTTTATTTAATTCTACCTTGTTAAACAGAGCATTTAAAAAAAAGGTTTATAATTTAAATACAATTATTATTTTATAGTATTATTATTATGATTAATTTTAGTATTTTTAAATATTATTTTCTTTTTATTGAAGTGATTTAAATAGTTTATAATTTGAGTGAAATACATTTTTTGTAGTTTTTATTATTTATTAAAAAAAATTATTTTATGTTGTTTTTTATTATTATTATTATTCATTTTTATTTTAGGGTTTTTAAATATTCTTGTTTTATTGGAGAAAATAAAGCCTGATATTATTTTGCGTAATGTCGGCCTAGTCAAACTGAGAGCGATTTAAATACAAAAAAGGTTTAAATATATAATTTAAATAAAATATAATATAATATAACTAAAATAATATACAAAGAATAACTTTATTTTAATTTTTAAATTAGATAATAATAACACTACTTTTATCACTGACATATTGTCAATTTCACAGTTATTAACTTTTGTTTTAAATTAACCTGATTTTTTTTTAAGTTTTTTTTTTTAGTTAATTTTTGTTAGAATTTCATATGCTTTGCTGTGACTGTCCTCCTGCAGATTCTACGTTTCCCTCTGTCTTTCCACAGGACGTGTTTGAGTTTCGTTTCGCAAAAATGCCTGACGAGGTTTCGGAGGAAGAGGAATTGTCTCCTATTCCATTGGGACGGAACAGGGGCATGCTGGGAATGCACCACTCCTCCTCTTCGTCGTCCTCCTCGTCCTCTTCATCCTCCTCTTCCTCTTCGTCGGAGAGCGAGCCGAGCAGCGACAGTGAGCCGAGCTCGGACAGCGAGGAGGAGCGAGCTCAACGCCTGGCCCAACTACAGGACCAGGTGTGTACTCAGGTACACAGACCTTCCTGTTACACACATCTTCACACATGTACACACACAGCATCAAATCAAGGTTTACTTTGATAGATGTCTCTGGCGGATGAAGAGATTATTATTTGTGTGTGTATATACACTACCGTTCAAAAGTTTGGGGTCGGTACGATTTTAAATACTTTTAAAAGAATTCTCTTCTGCTAACCATGGCTGCGCTTATTTGATTAAAAATACAACAAAAATCAGTTATAGTATTAAATATTATTCCAGTGTAAATCAGCTGTTTTCTGTGTGAATATATAGTAAAGTGTAATTTATTCCTGTGATCAAAGCTGAATTTTCAGCATCACCAGTGTCAGTGTCTTCAGTGTCACATGATCCTTCACAAATCAGTATAATATGAGGATTTGATGCTCAAGAAACATTTATTATTATTATCAATGTTGAAACAGTTGTTGGTCTGTCAGTTGTACAGTTTTTTTTGTTTTTTTTAGGATTCTTTGATGAATAGGGTTAGGGTTAGAATCTTTTGTAACATTATAAATGTCTTTACTGTCACTTTCGATCAACTTAATTATTCCTTGATAAATAAAAGTATTGATTTCTTTCCTCCAAAAAATAAAAATAAAATTCTCACTGACCCCAAACTTTTGAACGGTAGTGTATATATATATATATAGTTATAGTTAAACTTAGAATCAAAGGCCATATTGCACGTAAAAAAAAAAAATATATATATATATATATATATTAGGGCTGGGCAAGTTAACGCGTTAATCATTTATTAATTAATGCCGACAAATTTTTTTCCCGCACGTTAACGCAGTTTTTTTATTATTATTATTTTGAAAGTCCGTTGCTCACTGGCTCTGAATACACATGATCACAGGAGGGGTGTGATGTTTGTCAGCCAGCAAATAACCCACCCAAACCAGCAGTGGAGAGGCTTTGGCAGGTTCTCTCAGGTGAACAGAAAGGGAGACAGCGCTCCGCGAGTGAATGACAGGCGCTCTATGGATAGTAACCATGGCAACGGCTTCTGTGCGCTACGCAGCTGTAGCCTTTTTAACTTAAATTTTTTTTTTTTAAATTTTCATTTAAACTTCCGCGGTTGTCCGCGAGAGGTGCATGTCAGGGCACGCCGAAGGGTACGCCGCTACACACAGCAGGTACGTTGCTACGGCGTGAGTTCGACGCAGATACCTCTGTTTAATGTAATCTTTGTGTACGTGGGAAACCATGTCATGACCAAACCTAAGCTACTATCAGAGAAGTAACGTTGGTCGACTTATATTAGTGGTCATGACCTCTGACTACATAGACTGTTTCTGCTGCTCCCTGATAAAAGATACCTGTTGATACCTGTTCAGAAAAAAACCAAGAAAACTGGACTCGTTTTAACAAGCTAGATTAAAGGTAATGCCCTGGCAGTGGCAAATAGCTTTGTTTAAATATTTGATTTGATTACATTAATGTTTAAGTTGAGATTTACAATAAATATTTTATTGATACTGTGTAAAGGGAATACTGCTGGTATAAAGCACCTTATTTGTTTAAAGTTTTTGCAAACCACATGTTATTGCACTTTTGTGTATATAGCAGTACATTTAAATCAAAAATGCGCAATGCACTACTTTAGAATTCATTATTCAATTTTGCGCGTAACAATGCGATTAATCGCAAGAAAATCTTGCGATTAATCACGATTAAAACATTTAATCGTTGCCCAGCACTAATATATATATATATATATATATATATATATAAATACACACACAAGCAAAGTGTCTAGCATTAGAGATTTGCGTTATGTAAATCTATGTGTGTGTGTGTATGTATATATATATATATATATATATATATATATATATATATATATATATATATATATTATTATTATTATTATTTTTATTTTTTTATATTTGTTTTTTTTATACGTACAATATGGCCTTTGATTGTAAGTTTAACTATTCTTAACTGTCTACATTGTACAATAACAATAAAGAAATCTATCTATCTATCTTATATTGACACATTAGAGTGATAAAGAAACATGCATGAATGAGAAAACAAAGAACGGAAATAGAATTAAGCACAATAAGCTGCGAAATAAGAACTCAATGCAGAACACCTGAAGCGTGCGTCATCTTTTCTTGATCCTTTTGCATTCACTGCATTAAAGTTTTTAACCAGCTTTTCCTTCACGCCATCTACAGTATTACTAGGAACGATTACAGCAACTAAGCAGAAAAATCAAGATGATAAGTGCGTGTGTGTATATATATTAGGGGTGGAACGGTACATGTATTCGTATTGAACCGAAACGGTACGGGCGTCACGGTTCGGTGCACGAATTTACACGGAGAATACACGGTATAAAAATAAATAAAACTCGCGTGCAAATGAATTAATGTAATGCGGAACTACTGTTAGATAGGCGGGTTCTTTAGGGACACATAATCTGTACCATCGGCTTAGCTCTGAACGCGCGTTCACTTCAAACGTTGGCTTTATACGCGCGTCCTATTCGCTTTGGACTAGCGTCAAAATAGACGCGAATTTGACGCTCTATTCGCGTTTGGTGTGACCGTGACCGCATAATGAACAGGCTGCGATGTCAAGATTGCAATGCTGGAGTGTGTGTGTGTGTGTGAGAGAGAGAGAGGCGCGGGCGTGATCGTGATCGAACAGTGGAAACATAAAAACATACTCCGTCATTTTGTTCATACAGATCATTAAACCTGCAAAGTGTTTACTTATATTTGTGTACACTCGCAATAAAACACAACATTGTGCTTTTGTCACACTGTAAACTCTCGTCAAACTGTAACCTACAACTGTCACCCAACCAAAATCACACACACACACTGTTTTTTTTGTTTTAAAAGCAAAACATATTTATCCGACTTTCATTTCTTGTCCTCGGAGCGCTAATCTTACACATTCTACATTGATTAAAAAATAAAATCGAATGTGTTTTTAATGGTAGTATTATTTTATACAGAAATCAGTTATTTATAATTCAGATAAGAATAATGTTATATTGTTAATTAATAATGTTAATTAAAATGAAGGAAAACAAATATATTGATCTGAAATATAGCACAATAATTTTAAATTAGTTCAGGTACAATTACCAAACATATCGCAAGGTCTTTTTGTCGTTTTATTAATTTAATTAAAAAACGAATTATATAAAACTATTGTCAGTGCACTACAAATAAACTGGTTCTATGCCTTTATTAATAAAACTTATTTAAAAAATACAATGCCTTCTGCATTTTTGTTTTGCTTTTCCCTCCATTGTACCGAAATCGTACCGAACCGTGATGTCTGAACCGAGGTATGAACCGAACCGTGACTTCTGTGTACCGTTCCACCCCTAATATATATACTGCCGTTCAAAAGTTTGGGATCGGTAAGATTTTTAATGTTTTTAAAAAGAAGTCTCTTCTGCTCACGAGGACTGCATTTATTTGATTAAAAATAGAAAAATAGTGATTTTGTTTAATGTTATGACAATTTTCTATTTGAATATATTTTAAAATCAAATTTCTATAAGAAAAAAAATAATACATTTATTCAGCAAGGATGCATTAAATTGATAAAAAGTTACAGTAAAAACATTTATAATGTTACAAAAGATTCTATTTCAAATAAATAGATATTTTCAATATGTTCAATATTGATAATCATAAATGTTTCTTGAGCATCAGATCATCATATTAGAGTGATTTCTGAAGGATCATGTGACACTGAAGATTGGAGTAATGATGCTGAAAATTCAGCTTTGATCACAGAAATAAATTACACTTACAGTATATTAACATAGAAAACAGCTGATTAAAATTTCTTTTAAAAACGTTAAAACTCTTACCGATCCCAAACTTTTGAATTTCTAATGTTTATATATAGATAGATAGATAGATAGATAGATAGATAGATAGATAGATAGATAGATAGATAGATAGATAGATAGATAGATAGATAGATAGATAGATAGATAGATAGATAGATAAATGGATGGTTGGTAACTCTGGTCTTGTGTTTCAGCTCAGAGCCGTGCACGAGCAGCTCGCCGCCCTCTCATCTGGCCCGATTGTCAAACCGAAAAGAAAACGAGAGAAAAAGAAGGACAAGAAGAAGAAAAAGAAGCCGGAGAAGCGCAGAGGAAGTCGGAGTGTGACTGATGAACGGGACAAAGTGCCTAAAAGCAAATCGAGCCGAGCGTCACTGTCATCCACACAGAGCAAGAAAACCCCGGCGAAGAAAAGCAGCAAAAACAAGTGAGTTTTGAGATATAATGTGATAATAGGGATGATTATTATTATGTCCAAATGTAATGTTTTGAATTGTATATTTTAGGGGTGTAACAATTAGGGCTGTCACTTTTGTGGAAAAATCCTGCTCGATTTGAGACATTAGTGTTCATTGTAAAATCGATTTTCCATGTCTAAAGACTTGAAGAAATTTTCATCACCAAATACAGGCAAATCCACGGACACCTAACAGGCGTTAGGACGAGCGTAAAGAGGGCGCTTGAGACGCACAAGTCAGCAATATTCCTGATGATTTATTGGCGTGAAGTTTCAGCACAATGACAAACAGGAGCGCAACATTCAGGGATTGAGATTAACTCCCTCGACTCGCCAGATGCGGATACAAATGAACTTTGGCGGGAAACGCTGTCAAATCACGAGCCAATCTGGCGTGTTTCTGTGTTTACTCACTTTGCTGGGGAAGTTCGTGTTAGACAAATCTGCGGGGATTTAGCGCAAATACGCAACTCGTGATCCTCATGATATATTAAATACAGCGTATTGCAGAATCTGTGCATTTCTGGGTTACTTGAACACACACGTCACACACACACACACACGTCACTACGCAACAAATAACGGCGCGCTTGTTCACTTGCACTGAAGTAATAGCGAATATTAAAAAGCATTTGGCGAACAGAAAAGACATTGTTGTTTTCCAGCATCCGACATGTTCTGTGTCCTGTATTGATCTGTCCACCTCACACACATTTTTGGTTAAAAAAAAGGCCGTTAAAATCGATTCCCTATTCTCGTTTTCGAAACTTGTGTTGGTTGGTCCGATCGATTGTGCAATTGATTTTCGATGTAAAGTGACAGCCCTAGTAACAATATTCCGTGTCACAATATATCGCAATACAAAAATGCATCCATATGTATTGTGTATAATTCACCCAAAATGAAAATTTCAGTGTGAGAAAGTTTTCAGAGTTTTAGTGTCAGTACTACATTAAACTACTATATATAATGTTGAATATAATGTATAATAATGCAATGGGGGGATATTTGTGGGTCCTGATAATGCTAAATGTCTGATGTTACCAGTAAAAGTGGCCTATATTATAAATATATCTAGTCGGTGACAGAGTGTAAGCATATTCGTCTAAAATAATTCAGTATTTTCAGCTTCAGAATCATGAATATTGTTATTCTGGTGTGTCTATTGTCCTGTGCTTTGGGTTTACCAAGTCCAAGCATATTCATTTACACACACAATATAATACCAAATTTAGCATTTTAATCAACAGTACATTTATTGTTAACCTTTTATCATATGTCTTGGAGTATCGCAATAATATCGTATCGTGACATGAAGGTATCGTTACACCCCTAGTTTATTTGTATCAAATTAATTTGATTTATTCACTCCGACAGGAACACAAAGAAATCAGCCTCATCATCTCGTTTTGCGCCGGCCGCCACCGTGTGCTTGCCTCACTACGACTCTGAGGAAGAAGAGGACGGTCTTCCTATGAGTTACGATGACAAGCGGCAGCTCAGTCTGGATATCAACAAGCTTCCCGGGGAGAAACTGGGGCGCGTGGTTCACATCATCCAGTCTCGAGAGCCCTCGCTGCGGGACACCAACCCCGAGGAGATCGAGATCGACTTCGAAACGCTGAAGCCGTCCACGCTGCGCGAGCTGGAGCGCTACGTCATGACCTGCCTGCGCAAGAAGCCCCGCAAACCGTATGGTGAGCTGAGATTTGATGATTGTAAGTAAACCTGGATGATATATTTTAAAAATATCAACATTTTCTGTCGAAATTGAGCTGCACGATTAATCGTTAATAGATAGATAAAGTTAATGGATCGTTAAAATGAAACAAGTGAAGTCTTTATGAGCGAGTCATTGAATCATTCATTCAAGAGAATCGTTCAAAAATGCTGATTCGTCCAGTAATGAAACAAGTGAAGTCTTTTTGAGCGAGTCATTGAATCATTCATTCAACAGATTTGTTTCATTACTGAATGAATCAGCATTTTTGAACCAGTGAAATCTTTTGAGCGAGTGAGTCATTGAATCATTCATTCAATAGATTAAATCAAAAATGCTGATTCATCCAGTAATAAAACAAGTGAAGTCTTAATGAGCGAGTCATTGAATCATTCATTCAATAGATTTGTTTAATTACTGAATGAATCAGCATTTTTGAACCAGTGAAATCTTTATGAGCGAGTGAGTCATTGAATCATTCATTCAATAGATTAAATCAAAAATGCTGATTCATCCAGTAATGAAACAAGTGAAGTCTTTATGAGCGAGTCATTGAATCATTCATTCAATAGATTTGTTTCTTTACTGGATGAATCAGCATTTTTGAACCAGTGAAATCTTTATGAGCGAGTGAGTCATTGAATCATTCATTCAATAGATTTGTTAATTACTGGATGAATCAGCATTTTTGAACCAGTGAAATCTTTTGAGCGAGTGAGTCATTGAATCATTCATTCAATAGATTAAATCAAAAATGCTGATTCATCCAGTAATGAAACAAGTGAAGTCTTTATGAGCGAGTCATTGAATCATTCATTCAATAGATTTGTTAATTACTGGATGAATCAGCATTTTTGAACCAGTGAAATCTTTTGAGCGAGTGAGTCATTGAATCATTCATTCAATAGATTAAATCAAAAATGCTGATTCATCCAGTAATGAAACAAGTGAAGTCTTTATGAGCGAGTCATTGAATCATTTATTCAATAGATTTGTTTCTTTACTGGATGAATCAGCATTTTTGAACCAGTGAAATCTTTATGAGCGAGTGAGTCATTGAATCATTCATTCAATAGATTAAATCAAAAATGCTGATTCATCCAGTAATGAAACAAGTGAAGTCTTTATGAGCGAGTCATTGAATCATTTATTCAATAGATTTGATTCTTTACTGGATGAATCAGCATTTTTGAACCAGTGAAATCTTTTGAGCGAGTGAGTCATTGAATCATTCATTCAATAGATTAAATCAAAAATGCTGATTCATCCAGTAATGAAACAAGTGAAGTCTTTATGAGCGAGTGATTTAATCATTTATTCAATAGATTTGTTTCTTTACTGGATGAATCAGCATTTTTGAACCAGTGAAATCTTTTGAGCGAGTGAATCATTGAATCATTCATTCAATAGATTTGTTGATTACTGGATGAATCAGCATTTTTGAACCAGTGAAATCTTTTGAGCGAGTGAGTCATTGAATCATTCATTCAATAGATTAAATCAAAAATGCTGATTCATCCAGTAATGAAACAAGTGAAGTCTTTATGAGCGAGTCATTGAATCATTCATTCAATAGATTTGTTTCTTTACTGGATGAATCAGCATTTTTGAACCAGTGAAATCTTTTGAGTGAGTGAATCATTGAATCATTCATTCAATAGATTTGTTAATTACTGGATGAATCAGCATTTTTGAACCAGTGAAATCTTTTGAGCGAGTGAGTCATTGAATCATTCATTCAATAGATTAAATCAAAAATGCTGATTCATCCAGTAATGAAACAAGTGAAGTCTTTATGAGCGAGTGATTTAATCATTTATTCAATAGATTTGTTTCTTTACTGGATGAATCAGCATTTTTGAACCAGTGAAATCTTTTGAGCGAGTGAATCATTGAATCATTCATTCAATAGATTTGTTAATTACTGGATGAATCAGCATTTTTGAACCAGTGAAATCTTTTGAGCGAGTGAGTCATTGAATCATTCATTCAATAGATTAAATCAAAAATTCTGATTCATCCAGTAATGAAACAAGTGAAGTCTTTATGAGCGAGTGATTTAATCATTTATTCAATAGATTTGTTTCTTTACTGGATGAATCAGCATTTTTGAACCAGTGAAATCTTTTGAGCGAGTGAATCATTGAATCATTCATTCAATAGATTTGTTGATTACTGGATGAATCAGCATTTTTGAACCAGTGAAATCTTTTGAGCGAGTGAGTCATTGAATCATTCATTCAATAGATTAAATCAAAAATGCTGATTCATCCAGTAATGAGTCATTGAATCATTCATTCAATAGATTAAATCAAAAATGCTGATTCATCCAGTAATGAAACAAGTGAAGTCTTTATGAGCGAGTCATTGAATCATTCATTCAATAGATTTGTTTCTTTACTGGATGAATCAGCATTTTTGAACCAGTGAAATCTTTTGAGCGAGTGAATCATTGAATCATTCATTCAATAGATTTGTTAATTACTGGATGAATCAGCATTTTTGAACCAGTGAAATCTTTTGAGCGAGTGAGTCATTGAATCATTCATTCAATAGATTAAATCAAAAATGCTGATTCATCCAGTAATGAAACAAGTGAAGTCTTTATGAGCGAGTGATTTAATCATTTATTCAATAGATTTGTTTCTTTACTGGATGAATCAGCATTTTTGAACCAGTGAAATCTTTTGAGCGAGTGAATCATTGAATCATTCATTCAATAGATTTGTTGATTACTGGATGAATCAGCATTTTTGAACCAGTGAAATCTTTTGAGCGAGTGAGTCATTGAATCATTCATTCAATAGATTAAATCAAAAATGCTGATTCATCCAGTAATGAAACAAGTGAAGTCTTTATGAGCGAGTCATTGAATCATTCATTCAATAGATTTGTTTTTTTACTGGATGAATCAGCATTTTTGAACCAGTGAAATCTTTTGAGCGAGTGAATCATTGAATCATTCATTCAATAGATTTGTTAATTACTGGATGAATCAGCATTTTTGAACCAGTGAAATCTTTTGAGCGAGTGAATCATTGAATCATTCATTCAATAGATTTGTTAATTACTGGATGAATCAGCATTTTTGAACCAGTGAAATCTTTTGAGCGAGTGAGTCATTGAATCATTCATTCAATAGATTAAATCAAAAATGCTGATTCATCCAGCAATGAAACAAGTGAAGTCTTTATGAGCGAGTCATTGAATCATTCATTCAATAGATTTGTTTTTTTACTGGATGAATCAGCATTTTTGAACCAGTGAAATCTTTTGAGCGAGTGAATCATTGAATCATTCATTCAATAGATTTGTTAATTACTGGATGAATCAGCATTTTTGAACCAGTGAAATCTTTTGAGCGAGTGAGTCATTGAATCATTCATTCAATAGATTAAATCAAAAATGCTGATTCATCCAGCAATGAAACAAGTGAAGTCTTTATGAGCGAGTCATTGAATCATTCATTCAATAGATTTGTTTCATTACTGAATGAATCAGCATTTTTGAACCAGTGAAATCTTTATGAGCGAGTGAGTCATTGAATCATTCATTCAATAGATTAAATCAAAAATGCTGATTCATCCAGTAATGAAACAAGTGAAGTTTTATGAGCGAGTCATTGAATCATTTATTCAATAGATTTGTTTCTTTACTGGATGAATCAGCATTTTTGAACCAGTGAAATCTTTTGAGCGAGTGAATCATTGAATCATTCATTCAATATATTTGTTAATTACTGGATGAATCAGCATTTTTGAACCAGTGAAATCTTTTGAGCGAGTGAGTCATTTAATCATTCATTCAATAGATTAAATCAAAAATGCTGATTCATCCAGTAATGAAACAAGTGAAGTCTTTATGAGCGAGTGATTTAATCATTTATTCAATAGATTTGTTTCTTTACTGGATGAATCAGCATTTTTGAACCAGTGAAATCTTTTGAGCGAGTGAATCATTGAATCATTCATTCAATAGATTTGTTGATTACTGGATGAATCAGCATTTTTGAACCAGTGAAATCTTTATGAGCGAGTGAGTCATTGAATCATTCATTCAATATATTAAATCAAAAATGCTGATTCATCCAGTAATGAAACAAGTGAAGTTTTATGAGCGAGTCATTGAATCATTCATTCAATAGATTTGTTTCTTTACTGGATGAATCAGCATTTTTGAACCAGTGAAATCTTTATGAGCGAGTGAGTCATTGAATCATTCATTCAATAGATTAAATCAAAAATGCTGATTCATCCAGTAATGAAACAAGTGAAGTTTTATGAGCGAGTCATTGAATCATTTATTCAATAGATTTGTTTCTTTACTGGATGAATCAGCATTTTGAACCAGTGAAATCTTTTGAGCGAGTGAATCATTGAATCATTCATTCAATAGATTTGTTAATTACTGGATGAATCAGCATTTTTGAACCAGTGAAATCTTTTGAGCGAGTGAGTCATTGAATCATTCATTCAATAGATTAAATCAAAAATGCTGATTCATCCAGTAATGAAACAAGTGAAGTTTTATGAGCGAGTCATTGAATCATTTATTCAATAGATTTGTTTCTTTACTGGATGAATCAGCATTTTTGAACCAGTGAAATCTTTTGAGCGAGTGAATCATTGAATCATTCATTCAATAGATTTGTTAATTACTGGATGAATCAGCATTTTTGAACCAGTGAAATCTTTTGAGCGAGTGAGTCATTGAATCATTCATTCAATAGATTAAATCAAAAATGCTGATTCATCCAGTAATGAAACAAGTGAAGTCTTTATGAGCGAGTGATTTAATCATTTATTCAATAGATTTGTTTCTTTACTGGATGAATCAGCATTTTTGAACCAGTGAAATCTTTTGAGCGAGTGAATCATTGAATCATTCATTCAATAGATTTGTTGATTACTGGATGAATCAGCATTTTTGAACCAGTGAAATCTTTTGAGCGAGTGAGTCATTGAATCATTCATTCAATAGATTAAATCAAAAATGCTGATTCATCCAGTAATGAAACAAGTGAAGTCTTTATGAGCGAGTCATTGAATCATTCATTCAATAGATTTGTTTCTTTACTGGATGAATCAGCATTTTTGAACCAGTGAAATCTTTTGAGCGAGTGAACCATTGAATCATTCATTCAATAGATTTGTTAATTACTGGATGAATCAGCATTTTTGAACCAGTGAAATCTTTTGAGCGAGTGAGTCATTGAATCATTCATTCAATAGATTAAATCAAAAATGCTGATTCATCCAGCAATGAAACAAGTGAAGTCTTTATGAGCGAGTCATTGAATCATTAATTCAATAGATTTGTTTCATTACTGAATGAATCAGCATTTTTGAACCAGTGAAATCTTTATGAGCGAGTGAGTCATTGAATCATTCATTCAATAGATTAAATAAAAAATGCTGATTCATCCAGTAATGAAACAAGTGAAGTCTTTATGAGCGAGTCATTGAATCATTTATTCAATAGATTTGTTTCTTTACTGGATGAATCAGCATTTTTGAACCAGTGAAATCTTTTGAGCGAGTGAATCATTGAATCATTCATTCATTAGATTTGTTTCATTACTGGATGAATCAGCATTTTTGAACCAGTGAAATCTTTATGAGCGAGTGAGTCATTAAATCATTCATTCAATAGATTTAATCAAAAATGCAGATTCATCCAGTAATAAAACAAGTGACATATTTGAGTCATTGAATCATTAATTCATTCAAGCATTGATTTAAAAAAACAAATCTTAGTAAATATTTTTCCTTTTTTTTCAGCAATTAACATTGTCAGAACCATTTTTTTTTTAATAATTCAAAATAATTGTATAAATATACTGCAGCAATCATTGTCAGAACCTCTAGTAAATTGCGTTATTTTGTCTAGTTGTATATTCAGAATCGTGGGAAAATCGGGATCTCTTATTTTAATTGTGCAGCTCAATATCTCAATTGTTTCATATGCATCATGATTTTCTTTAAACTTGCTGTCAAAATCAGTTATAATGCATGTTTTATCTGCGACTAATTGTATTGCTGTGTATAAAGGGTTACACTTTATTTTAAGGTGTCATTGTTACAGTGTAATTATATATTTAAGTACTACTGAGTAATATTAATTAACCCTCTGGGGTCCAAGGTGTTTTTGGGGTCCTTGAGATGTTTGACATACTCTGACATTTGTGCTTTTTTCAGTTGCTTATAAACATATTACTGGCAAAGGTGTAATTACACTCTATTTAGCACACACAGGGCTACCATAATGTGTTATCAACATGTATGTACATTTTTGCATTTTTGAGAGAATATTGTTTATGCGTGGTTATTGAAAAAACTAAAACTTAAAGTTTCTGAAATAAGGCCACAAAACAACACATACTAAATATATGTCCACAAGACTTTTGACTAATGGATGTTGTCGCCTAGAGTTTTTTCTTCAAAATGATCTGAAAATCATCCTGCTTTATCATTCACATAAAACAATAGATTGGTTTAAATTTAAAAATGACACTTTTTGTTTGGAAAGGCGATATGCGCAGGGGTGTGACCTGCTGTGATTCACACCTGAGAAGACAATGGCCCGCATAATGAGCGCATAATGGGCTGCATACCAATGACCCTTTCATTCAGGTGTGTCACTGAGCCACAAGAATGCAATGACAATACATATATATACACTCACCGGCCACTTTATTAGGTACCCCATGCTAGTAACGGGTTGGACCCCCTTTTGCCTTCAGAACTGCCTCAATTCTTCGTGGCATAGATTCAACAAGGTGCTGGAAGCATTCCTCAGGGAGTTTGGTCCATATTGACATGATGGCATCACACAGTTGCCGCAGATTTGTCGGCTGCACATCCATGATGCGAATCTCCCGTTCCACCACATCCCAAAGATGCTCTATTGGGTTGAGATCTGGTGACTGTGGAGGCCATTTTAGTACAGTGAACTCATTGTCATGTTCAAGAAACCAATTTGAAATGATTAGAGCTTTGTGACATGGTGGAAGTAGCCATCAGAGGATGGGTACATGGTGGCCATAAAGGGATGGACATGGTCAGAAACAATGCTCAGGTAGGCCGTGGCATTTAAACGATGCCCAATTGGCACTAAGGGGCCTAAAGTGTGCCAGGAAAACATCCCCCACACCATTACACCACCACCACCAGCCTGCACAGTGGTAACAAGGCATGATGGTTCCATGTTCTCATTCTGTTTACGCCAAATTCTGACTCTAACATCTGAATGTCTCAACAGAAATCGAGACTCATCAGACCAGGCAACATTTTTCCAGTCTTCAACTGTTCAATTTTGGTGAGCTCTTGCAAATTGTAGCCTCTTTTTCCTATTTGTAGTGGAGATGAGTGGTACCCGGTGCAGTCTTCTGCTGTTGTAGCCCATCCGCCTCAAGGTTGTGCGTGTTGTGGCTTCACAAATGCTTTGCTGCATACCTCGGTTGTAACGAGTGGTTATTTCAGTCACTGTTGCCCTTCTATCAGCTCGAACCAGTCTGGCCATTCTCCTCTGACCTCTGGCATCAACAAGGCATTTCCGCCCACAGAACTGCCGCTCACTGGATGTTTTTTCTTTTTCGGACCATTCTCTGTAAACCCTAGAGATGGTTGTGCGTGAAAATCCCAGTAGATTAGCAGTTTCTGAAATACTCAGACCAGCCCTTCTGGCACCAACAATCATGCCACGTTCAAAGTCACTCAAATCACCTTTCTTCCCCATACTGATGCTCGGTTTGAACTGCAGGAGATTGTCTTGACCATGTCTACATGCCTAAAAGCACTGAGTTGCCGCCATGTGATTGGCTGCTTAGAAATTAAGTGTTAACGAGCAGTTGGACAGGTGTACCTAATAAAGTGGCCGGTGAGTATATATATATATATATATATGCCTATATAATACAAAATTGGTTCACAGTTCCAATTATTTATTTATTTTTCAAATTGTGCTTGCAAATTGTATAATATCAAATGTAAAAATTTCTAGTAATTGTGCAGTTAATTATCATACTGTTTTTACAGAAAGTTTGGGAATGTATCCCAAATGTGTCACTAATAAAACACAATACAAATAATTTAAAGAGGAGGCTTATATTGAGCTTTTAAGATTTACCTAAGATTTATTTATATGTAGCCTACATATATTTTTGCTATTTTAATAAAAAGGTTACAATTACAACAACAATTAAAATTTTAACTATATTTCAAATGTAATCTGTCTTTGTATTATATACTAAAGTATACATTTTATCATACATATTTCACAGTTGCGGATTAATTAGTTTGAATATAGCCTACAATCGAACAAACACTATAATAACATCTTAGCAAACAAGCTTATTTGATGTGGCAGTATTTTACAGTAAAAACGACATCTTGTCTTTCATATGTAACATATTGTTTTTATGATTAGGACATATAAATGTTAATTTGCAGTTTAATACGTTGCTTATACAAAAATATTTTATTTCAACATATTTCAGTCGATTTTCACTCATCTCAGTATTGGAATATAGTTAGGTAAAAGCTGTTCATTCATTCACACACAAAAACGCGATTCAAACAGTCTTTTTGTTTACAGACACTATTCCATATCGCGATTAGAACAAAGCACTTGAAAATAAAGAATGTACCTATTTCCTCGGCTGGATCCGTTGCTCCTCCAAATGAAACTACCTGTAGCCTACTTCTGAGGTAATTTTTTCCAGGATTATTATTAAGATAGTATTATTCCTCACAGCGTCGTAAATCTGAGTCTCTTTCGGTGGGTTATCCAGCTGATGTGGGCGTGGATCGCCTCAGAGCGTTTGTGTTTGAATAGAGCGCGCGCTCCGTGGGCGTGGTCAAATTAACTTTAATGAGCTGAGACGAGAACGACTATCATCTCTCTCTTTTCGTACAGATTACATAAAATGAGAAAATTTGTTTTTTATATAATTTACTTCATTTAAAAGAAGATAATTCAGGCTTCATGCCTGTGTGCCTGTATACTTGTTTGACTGAGTATTTGCAGAGTTACAGTTGATTTTTCGGACGCGTTTCAGAATGGACTTCACTGACAGAGAGAACGCAGAACGCGCATCATGTTTATTTTTCTTTATTAGGCGAAAAGCACAACACTTTGTTTTTATTATGAGGTTCCACAAAAAAAATACAAACTTAACAGGATCGAATGATGTACAACACTTATATGTAAGATCAAAATCAACAGAGTAATTTGAGTCTCTTTTGCACTGATAAGGAAAAAAGTGAGCTGGTATCGCCGGCGAGACCGCCGACCCCAGAGGGTTAACTACATGTACTTACTGTAGGGTTAGGATTTGATTGAGAGTTATTTGCATGTAATTATGCATAATTTACTGTTGTTATTATTATGCATGTAACATATGTAACAAGGACACTGTAAAATATAGTGTTACCCTTTATTTTAAGTGTGATTATATATTTAAGTACTGAGCAACTACATGTACTTACTATTAGGGTAGGATTAGGATTTGGTTGAGGGTTAGTTGCATGTAATTATGCATAATTTACTGTTATTGTAAGTACATTGTGACACTGTAAAATAAAGTGTTGCTGCATAAAGTGTAATGATGATGCCTCCTGTGTGCAGTGGTGAAGAAGGAAGGAGGGAAGAGTCGAGAGGAACTGGCCCTGGAGAAGAAGAGAGAGCTGGAGAGGAGATTACTGGACGTGAGCGGACAACTGAACTCTGCCAAGAAACCCCAGAAACCCAAAGGTAGGGCCGAGACCGGCCGCAGTGTGTTCTCTAGCCCATCTGTTCACACTACAAGCGACAAAGCGACACGATACCATTCATTTCAATGGGGATGGGGCGTGTCTGGCGACGCGACAAAGTTGATATCTGTTTAACTTTATGCAAATGAAGAGAGTGAAGTCAGTGGAGCGCATGTGATCCGTCACTCTTCAGTGCTGAGTCTGACTACGTCTTCGTACTTCCGCTCTATTTCAGTTCGCTTCTGTTCGCTTTGTAATATTTACAAGCATTGCTAAATTTAAGTTGAAGTTAAAAACATTGTATATATTTATTTTTAAAATATACTTTGTTTCCAATATTATAAAATAAATTATTATTATTACTAAATAAATGATTAAAATAAGAAATTTAGCTAATGTTTTGTATTGTAATAATACACATATTTAAATATAAATATTATTATAATATTAATTGTTTTTAATATGAATAATAATAATATAAAATACTTAGATTTTCTTTATTACAATATCAATATTTCTTATTTAAAAATTAAAAGTTAGATTTTCGGCCATTTATATATTTTCTTTTTATTTATATTTATAAATTACATTTTTATACACTTTCATCTATTGTATTCTAAGCCATTATTACCCAATATGAAAATTGCTTGGCCTTTTAATAACAAGTTATTTTTTTTAATTAATTTTCCTTTTTGCTTCCAATATTCACAAGCATTTGACTAGATTTAAGTTGAAGTTAACTGCGGTTTTTGCGTGTGTGTGTGTGTGTGTGTGTTTCAGTGGAGAAGCCCAGCGTTGTGGACCCTCACACAGCGTCGTCACGTCTCAGCGCCAGCAGCTCCAGCTCAGACTCTTCCTCATCCTCCTCTTCCTCATCCTCATCCGACTCCAGCGACTCCGACTCCAGGTGAAGCAGCGGGAACTGGGAATTCTGGGAAGCGTTCAGACCCGTGGTCCTCCTTACACACGCGTTGTTTTCCGTGCTCCTGATCCCAGGAACTCTGTGTTTACTTCAGTGTAAAAAAGAAAAAAGAAAAAAAGATGTATATATCGTGTAGGATGATTTTTTTTCTTTTATAAAGAAGACTTTTACCAAAACGCCCATAATGGGAAACTCCGATGAGAATGTGTTATCATAACTACTTTTCTTAGTTGATGAAATGGCTTGTTGTTTTGTTTTGCTTCCATTTAATTTACATTTATTGCTTCTGCTTTGAATATCCGGGCCGGTAGTTGGACGTCGTTTTGAGCAAACAAAACATATAAAAGATGCACGATTTCATGGGCAGAAAATAAGAACTACTTTGCATTGGCTTTAAAGAGTTTGGGTTTCTGTGCGACGATGCAATAGACTGTGTTGGGGTTTGTTTTGTATGTACAGTATGATATAATATTCCACATTTCCGTACGGTTTGCAGTGAGTGAGTGAAACTGCTCTCGAGTTACACTTTGATATTGCTTTGATCTGTATGAAACTGATGGCCAGATCAATGTCAAATTACACTTTCTGTCATAAATTTGTCTGTGAAATTGCATCAATCTCAAACATAAGAGCCGTAATGCCTCGCCGGACTGGGTTTGTTCTGAGAGCTCTAAAGCTTCTGGATTCAGTGGTTTGAATGCACTGGTTAAGTTGAGAGTGGATCTGGTTTGTAGTCTAGCAACAGAACCCTCTTTTATTTCCTGTATATAGTCCATAATATCATGATCCTGCTTCTTTGTATTTCTTTGCATTGCTCTTTTTGAATATATAAGACAACTGGCAGATCATTGAGACATAATATTCCTGATCTGCTGTATAATTAAGAGTTTATGCGTTGGTTTTTATTTGGATGGAAATACAAACACAACAAGTGAACTGTGTGAAGTGGTGTTTATTTAATATTGTATATTGCATTTTATTTGTGTGTGTGTGTGTGTGTGTGTGTGTGTGTGTGTGTGTGTGTGTGTGTGTGTGTGTGTGTGTGTGAGTGAGTGAGAGAGTGTGTGAGTGAGAGAGTGTGAGTGAGAGAGTGTGTGAGTGAGAGAGTGTGTGAGTGAGAGAGTGTGTGAGTGAGAGAGTGTGTGTGAGTGTGTGTGAGTGTGTGTGAGTGTGTGTGTGAGTGTGTGTGAGTGTGTGTGAGTGTGTGTGAGTGTGTGTGAGAGTGTGTGAGTGTGTGTGTGAGTGTGTGTGTGTGAGAGAGAGTGTGTGAGTGAGTAAGAGAGTGTGTGAGTGAGAGAGTGTGTGAGTGAGAGAGTGTGTGAGTGAGAGAGTGTGTGAGTGAGAGAGTGTGTGAGTGAGAGAGTGTGTGAGTGAGAGAGTGTGTGGGTGAGAGAGTGTGTGAGTGAGAGAGTGTGTGAGTGAGAGAGTGTGTGAGTGAGAGAGTGTGTGGGTGAGAGAGTGTGTGTGTGTGTGTGTTTGTGAGTGAGTGTGTGAGAGTGTGTGAGAGTGTGTGAGAGTGTGTGAGAGTGTGTGAGAGTGTGTGAGAGTGTGTGAGAGTGTGTGAGAGTGTGTGAGAGTGTGTGTGAGAGTGTGTGTGAGAGTGTGTGTGAGAGTGTGTGAGAGTGTGTGAGAGTGTGTGAGAGTGTGTGAGAGTGTGTGAGAGTGTGTGAGAGTGTGTGAGAGTGTGTGAGAGTGTGTGAGAGTGTGAGAGTGTGTGAGAGTGTGTGAGAGTGTGTGAGAGTGTGTGAGAGTGTGTGAGAGTGTGTGAGAGTGTGTGAGAGTGTGTGAGAGTGTGTGAGTGTGTGAGAGTGAGTGAGAGTGAGTGAGTGTGTGTGTGAGAGTGAGTGAGAGTGAGTGAGAGTGTGTGAGAGTGTGTGAGAGTGTGTGAGAGTGTGTGAGAGTGTGTGAGAGTGTGTGAGAGTGTGTGAGAGTGTGTGAGAGTGTGTGAGAGTGTGTGAGAGAGTGTGAGAGAGTGTGTGAGAGTGTGTGAGAGTGTGTGAGAGTGTGTGAGAGTGTGTGAGAGTGTGTGAGAGTGTGTGAGAGTGTGTGAGAGTGTGTGAGAGTGTGTGAGAGTGTGTGAGAGTGTGTGTGAGAGTGTGTGAGAGTGTGTGAGAGTGTGTGAGAGTGTGTGAGAGTGTGTGAGAGTGTGTGAGAGTGTGTGAGAGTGTGTGAGAGTGTGTGAGAGTGAGTGAGAGTGAGTGAGAGTGAGTGAGAGTGAGTGAGAGTGAGTGAGAGTGAGTGAGAGTGAGTGAGAGTGAGTGAGAGTGAGTGAGAGTGAGTGAGAGTGTGTGAGAGTGAGTGAGAGTGAGTGAGAGTGTGTGAGAGTGAGTGAGAGTGAGTGAGAGTGAGTGAGAGTGTGTGAGAGTGAGTGAGAGTGTGTGAGAGTGAGTGAGAGTGAGTGAGAGTGAGTGAGAGTGAGTGAGAGTGAGTGAGAGTGAGTGAGAGTGAGTGAGAGTGAGTGAGAGTGAGTGAGAGTGAGTGAGAGTGTGTGAGAGTGAGTGAGTGAGTGTGTGTGTGAGAGTGAGTGAGAGTGAGTGAGTGTGTGAGAGTGAGTGAGTGTGTGAGAGTGAGTGAGTGTGTGAGTGTATGTGTGTGTGAGTGTGTGGTACAGTTCAGCAGCCTAGCCAAACCGGGAATGCTAGGTCTAATGTTGACAGTGTTTAAATGCTGATTATAACTAAACCTAGTCACTGCAGAAACCCAGCATGAGTGGCATGAAGAAGTTTCCATTTTACTGGGTTCCCAAAGTCATGAAAAACCGAAACATCTGGGAACTTGTATTTTGGAAATGTATGTAAATTTAATAGCAAAAACTCAGTGTATCATTGACAACAGTTCAGAATCCAATTGGTCAAAAAGTGTTTTTGTTCATTACATGTATAAATGTATGTCAATCAGTGCATCGTGAGGAAAAACTGTAAAGGCTCGTTCGCACACACACACACACACACACACACACACACACACACACACACACACACACACACACACACAACAAATGTCAACATTAAAATAACCTTTAAAATATCATTTGTAATATGCAAATAACATGGAAAATAGGATGTTACTGTTATGCGATTTTAAAAAGTTGATTCTATTTTTTTTATGCTTAAAAATATAATTTGTAATATGCAAATAAAATGCAAAATAGGATGGATTTTATTGGATGTTAAAATGTTGATTCTCATTTTTATGCTTTAAAATATAATTTGTAATATGCAAATAACATGCAAAATAGGATGTTACTGTTATGGGATTTAAAAATGTTGATAAAAATTTTTTATGCTTTCTATAAAATTTGTAATATGCAAATAAAATGCAAAATAGGATGGATTTTATTGGATGTTAAAATGTTGATGTGTGGGAACGAGCCGATAATAAAACCGATAACTATAACATGACTATATTAGCATGCACGCCAGCTGACGATATCGTCCTCGTTTATTCTTGCACGCGCTGCGGTTTTGTGGTCTGCCGCGCGCGCCCTCCTGAGAGCAGGGTGGATTCTGATTGGCTGTCAACGTTTTTAAGGTTCATCACTTCAAAAACAATCGTTCTCAAAGTGATTCCAATGATATCTTTTTGCTATGGTTATATTCCTTTATATTTAGAATGATTTTTCGAGCTATATCGTTATCGCCCTTGGGTGTGCCTAAATTTAATTTGATTAACCGGTTCTCTATCAGTCCAGAGCATTTAGCCAATCATAAATGACCTGGAACCGTTTCTAATATCATATGCTTGATGCACAATGGCTGATACAGATTAAAAACAATGGTTTCATGCATCACAAAAGAACTGAAACTGGCATGTGGACTTCAGAGCTGTAGTTTCTGTCAGGCACGAGGAACCTGAACCTGTTTTGTGAAGAATGGAGGAAGTAAATGCTTCCAGTAAATGCGTGTCTGGCATTCGGCTCTGACCTCGATAATGCGGCGGATGTTTCTTCTCTTTTACACGTTTGCCGTCGCTTGGAGTTTCTCAAGAACTCAAGGTAAGGATTTTATTTTCTTGAAAACTGAACATTAGAGTTTGTTCCTGTTGTTTTATTATCCAGTGTTTATACACTGCTGTTCAAAAGTTTTGGAGAAGTATCTTCTGCTCACCAAGGCTGCATTTATTTGATTAAAAATACAGTAAAAACAGTAATATTGTAAAATATTATTATAATTTAAAATAGCAGTTTTCTATATGAATATATAGCAAAGTGTAATTTATTCCTGTGATCAAAGCTGAATTTTCAGCATCATTACTCCAGTCTTCAGTGTCACATGATCCTTCAGAAATCACTCTAATATGAGGATCTGATGCTCAAGAAACATTTATGATTATTATCAGTGTTGAAAAAAAGTTGTGTACAATTTTTTTCATGATCCTTTGATGAATAGAAAGTAAAAAAGAACAGCATTTATCTGAAATAGAATCTTTTTTAACATTACAAATGTCTTTACTGTCACTTTTGATCAATTTAATTAATCCTTGATGAATAAAAGTATTAATCCCCCCCCCAAAAAAAAAAACAATTCTTACTGACCCCAAACTTTTGAACGGTTGTGTTTGTTACAAAAGCTTTCTAATTACACAAAAATACTGCAAGCATCTTAAACTCTAGTTCTAAAAAATAAAGAACAAAGAAATGTGCATCAGTGCTTTGCTTTTTTATGTTTTTAATTAATTTATGAAGCTTTATCATTACATTACATTGTTATATTATAATGCCATCATATTCTGTGCAGGCAATACTGTGATGTAAATAGAAAAGCCTGACAATATCACTGCTAGATACCTTTCGGTATTGTGGTATTCCGCCATGTTTGCGTTTACAAGCAGCCAATAACCCGTTCAAAACCGGGATATTAGCAATAACCCGGTCGCGCACGGCCATGTAAACACCGGCAAAAACCCGAATATGCTCATATTCCGGTTTTTAAAAACCCGAATATGATCCCAGGGTTACCCTTTTTCTAACCCGAATATTTGGTCATGTAAATGCGGATCGGCATATCTCCGTCAAAAGGAACATAGATTTGTGTTCTGCGCATGTTCTATTCGCAAGGAATCTTGGTCTTTTGAGTCGAGGAACTTCTTGTATACGCCCCGCGTGGAGTATACCGGGTCCGGGAGTAAACAAGAAGTAGAGGTAAACATGGCGAGACACAGCACCATACGTTTGGAGCGAGGAGGAAACCAATTTCTTTATTAGCGTGGTGGAAACCATGAATATAATGTATTTTGTTGACGGCAGAAAGTACCGAGATAGTGAGATTTACAAGACGCATATTGCGTCTTAAGGTTGTCTGTACGTCCAGACGCTAACCGTGCGTCTTATTCGGGTTAAACGGGTTAATAAATAACTTAAACGGGTTATTCCGAATGTTTCAGAAACCCGAATAGTGACCCGACCATAACCCGAATATTGACATCTTGTTAACGTAGTCACTGACACGCCCACAACTCGTAAAGATCGGGGCTTAAAGAAAATCTCGAGCTTCTCACTCGTATTTGAGACATTGTGGTGGCGTTCATGTGCGTCCAACTCGTAAATGCGATACGAGATGACATACGCTAGTAACCGGAGAGGTTTTTCTCCCACAGACAGTAAGCATGTAATGCGTCAGCTGACCTACTGCCACATCGAGCTGATGGACGCTGGGTTTGAGCTGGAGTTTGATGGACAGGAGCTCTGGCACGTGGATCCCACAGACTTCACCGCGAGACAGCGGTTACCGGAGTTCGCGTCGGACTGGAGACTCAACCGTAGTTTACCGTCTCAAGCGCACTACTCCATCGGCACCTGCTTCTACAACATCCCTCGCTGCGTCGCTGGAGAGAACAACCCTCCTCAGTCCATCGGTAAGCACTGCGTATATGAGCAGAACATCATTCAATTCAACTCACATTTATTTGAATAGCGCTGCCGCTTTCCACAATACACATCATTTCAAAGCAGCTTTAAAGAAAATGCATGAGTGCATAGTGATCTGTTATATGAGGTGACTGTCTAAGTTATGTATTTCAGAAATGTGCATATACAAAATCACACTTAGCTAAAAATGTATTAAACAATGTAATAATTTAATGCAAAATCATGACTGAACTGACTGACTGAACTTATATTTCTTCATCAAGCCTGTCAAAAAGACATTTTCACCACAAAATGAGACCTGACTATTTTTGCATTACAAGCATATTTTGCCCTCTCAAATTCTCATTACTTTAAAGTAAATATATATTTAATTAATTTTTATTATTTACTGTTTGGGGTTAGAATAATGCTTATCGTCTCATTTAATTAAAAATACAGTAAAAATTGTGAAATATTATTTTAATGTAAAATAGCCGTTGTCTATGTTAATATACTGTAAAGTGTCATTTATTCCTGTGATCAAAGCTGAATTTTCAGCATCATTACTCCAGTCTTCAGTGTCACATAATCCTTCAGAAATCACTCTAATATGATGATTTAATGCTTAAGAAACATTTATGATTATTATCAGTGTTGAAAACTGTCATATTTTTGTTTAAATGGAATCATGTGTAGAATTATAAATGTCTTTACTGTCACATTTGATCAATTTAATGTGATTGCTGTTTTATTTTTTTACTACAATATAAAAAAAAATGTATATACTTTTTTTTATGCATACAATAGTATTTTAAAAATCTATAATGAGAATTGCAAGCTCAAAAGTAAAACATCCAGATGCATTATGGTAATAATGAGAATGAGGGGAAATCAGTTGTCATTAAAATCGTCACTTTGAAAAACATTTTAATTGGTCTCAAAATTGGCTTAATTATAATTCTTATAGGCTTTAAACTGCCTTAAAAGATAATAATTTAAGTATAAAGATAATAATAAAATAACTTAAAGATAATAATCACTCCAATAATGATCCAATCATAGACTCTTAAAGTCCCTCTGTAATCAAGCATATTAAATACACCACATAGACATATAAACAACATTAAACGCTGGATTTAAACCACAGGGGGACTTTAATCATTTGCCTATTTAAATCCAAACAGTGACTTTTTTTATTGGCCAGTGTATTTTGGGGTGTAAAAGATTCAGAATAAGTTGCATCCGCCATTCACTCAACTATAATTCCCTGTCTGGCATCAGAACAGCATTAAATGAGCCAGTGATGCTCACACACACTGATAGTAATCCTGTATGTTATCTGATCTCACAGTTGCTCCGAACACACTGCTGTACAGCGAGAGCGACGTGAAGCTCGGGGTTGAAAACACCCTCATCTGTTCGGTGTCGAACTTCCACCCGCCGCCCGTGAACATCTCGTGGAGGAGGAACGGAGAGCCGGTGAGCGAGCGGGACGTCAGCGAGACGCAGTATTACTCCGACCGGGACTTCGGCTTCCGTGTGTTCTCCTACCTGAGCTTCAGTCCGGAGCGCGGAGACCTTTACAGCTGCAGCGTCCGACACCGGGGACTGCAGGAGGAACTCACCCGGTTCTGGGGTGAGCTGATCATACTCTTCTGCTTCTTGAATGAACGATTCAATGACTCGCTCATAAAGACTTCACTTGTTTCAATACTGGACGAATTAGCGTTTTTGAACGATTCTCTTGAATGAATGATTCAATGACTCACTCATAAAGACTTCACTTGTTTCAATACTGGACGAATTAGCGTTTTTGAACGATTCTCTTGAATGAATGATTCAATGACTCACTCATAAAGACTTAATTTTTTTCATTACTGGATGAATCAGCCTTTTTGAATGATTCAATGACTCACTCATAAAGACTTCACTTGTTTCATTACTGGATGAATCAGCATTTTTGAATGATTCAATGACTCACTCATAAAGACTTCACTTGTTTCATTACTGGATGAATCTGCGTTTTTAAATGATTCAATGACTCGCTCATAAAGACTTCACTTGTTTCATTACTGGATGAATCAGCATTTTTGAATGATTCAATGACTCACTCATAAAGACTTCACTTGTTTCATTACTGATGAATCAGCGTTTTTAAACGTTTCTCTTGAATTAATGATTCAATGACTCACTCATAAAGACTTCACTTGTTTCATTACTGATGAATCAGCGTTTTTAAACGTTTCTCTTGAATTAATGATTCAATGACTCACTCATAAAGACTTCACTTGTTTCATTACTGATGAATCAGCGTTTTTAAACGTTTCTCTTGAATTAATGATTCAATGACTCACTCAAAGACTTCACTTGTTTCATTACTGGATGAATCAGCATTTTTGAATGATTCAATGACTCACTCATAAAGACTTCACTAGTTTCATTACTGGATAAATCAGCATTTTTGAATGATTCAATGACTCACTCATAAAGACTTCACTTGTTTCATTACTGGATGAATCAGCATTTTTGAATGATTCAATGACTCACTCATAAAGACTTAACTTGTTTCATTACTAGATGAATCAGCATTTTTGAATGATTCAATGACTCACTCATAAAGACTTAACTTGTTTCATTACTAGATGAATCAGCATTTTTGAATGATTCAATGACTCACTCATAAAGACTTCACTTGTTTCATTACTGGATGAATCAGCATTTTTGAATGATTCAATGACTCACTCAAAGACTTCACTTGTTTCATTACTGGATGAATCAGCGTTTTTGAACGATTCTCTTGAATTAATGATTCAATGACTCACTCATAAAGACTTTTCTTGTTTCATTACTGAATGAATCGGCTTTTTTGAATGATTCTCTTGAATGAATGAATGATTCAATGACTCACTCATAAAGACTTCACTTGTTTCATTACTGGATGAATCAGCGTTTTTGAATGATTCTTAAATTCTAATGTACATTCTCTTGAATGAATGATTCAATGACTCACTCATAAAGACTTCACTTGTTTCATTACTGGATGAATCAGCATTTTTGAATGATTCAATGACTCACTCATAAAGACTTCACTTGTTTCATTACTGGATGAATCAGCATTTTTGAATGATTCAATGACTCACTCAAAGACTTCACTTGTTTCATTACTGGATGAATCAGCGTTTTTGAACGATTCTCTTGAATTAATGATTCAATGACTCACTCATAAAGACTTTTCTTGTTTCATTACTGAATGAATCGGCTTTTTTGAACGATTCTCTTGAATGAATGAATGATTCAATGACTCACTCATAAAGACTTCACTTGTTTCATTACTGGATGAATCAGCGTTTTTGAATGATTCTCTTGAATATTAATGATTCAAAGACTCACTCATAAAGACTTTACTTGTTTCCGACACCGAGGACGGCAGGAGGAACTCACCCGGTTCTGGGGTGAGCTGATCTTCTTCTTCTTCTTCTTTTTCTTCTTCTTCTTCTTCTTCTTCTTCTTCTTCTTCTTCTTCTTCTTCTTCTCCTTCTTCTCCTTCTTCTCCTTCTTCTCCTTCTCCTTCTCCTTCTCCTTCTCCTCCTCCTCCTCCTTCTCCTTCTCCTTCTCCTTCTCCTCCTCCTCCTCCTCCTCCTCCTCCTCCTCCTCCTGAGTGACACTATCAGTATTTTGCTCAAACTGAAGAATGATGCTGGTGTGTGAGGATTTTCCGCAGCTTCTTTTCAAAGAGTGTTTGTGTGAATCTTTACATATTTCTGAGCAATAGAATCAAGTCAAAAATTCCATCAGTTCATCAACAAGAACTAAAAACATGCCAAAACATTATTATTATTATGGTAACATTTTACAATTAGGTTTCATTTGTTAACATGAACTTACAATAAAAAAAAAAATCATCTTAATGTTAATTTCAACATACTAATACATTATTAAAATTAAGTTAATCTGTTAATAATATTTAATATACCTGAGCTGACATGAACTAGCAATAAACAGCTGTATTTTTATTTACAAATGTTATCAAAGATTAAATAAATACTGTAACAAATGTATTGCTTATTGATAGTTAATGCATTAACTAACATTTATTGTTATTGTTAAATTTAACCAACAGAAAATTATTACCCAAATGTAGACACATTTTTCACTTGCTGCCTTTTATATTTAAATGATAGTTAATGCAAATTTTTACTATTTATTTATTATTGAATATTAATTCAATATAATATTTTGTTTATATATATATATATATATATAGATGCACAATAATGCACAGTTTCACACTAGCGAAAGAATACTAGAATGCATGATGTTGTTGAATAGACATTTTGGATATGCATTGTTTTTATTTCTACCATTAATGTTTTGAGAATATTAAATATGAATATGCTGATGTTTGTGTCACAGAGGTGGAGGAGCCGGAAGACTCTCCGGAGGTCGAGACCGCAGTGCTTGTAGTCGGGATTCTTGTGGGATTTCTGGGATTTGTGGCGGGAATCATTCTAATCGTAATGAGCAAGATGGAGCTCCCGGCTGTATGACCATTCACTACATCTGCCACACACACACACACACACACTCACACACACACACACACACACTCACTCCTCAGACTGACAATCAGCTTAATATCAATACAGGTGAAACTCGAAACATTAGAATATCCTGCAAAAGTTCATTTATTTCAGTAATTCAACTTTTTCAAGCCTTTATTTGTTATAATTTTGATGATTATGGCTTACAGCTTATGAAAACCCCAAATTCAAAATTAGAATATTGTGAAAAGGTTTTCATATCTGTAAGCCATAATCATCAAAATTATAACAAATAAAGGCTTGAAATATCTCACTTTGCATGTAATGAGTCTATATAATATATTAGTGTCACCTTTTAAGTTGAATTACTGAAATAAATGAACTTATGCACCATATTCCAATTTTTCAAGTTTCACCTCTAAATGTCAATATTTATTGAAGTCTTTTATCATATTTATATATTGTTTGTGTTTGTTTGGATAGCTTTTAAGGTCGTACTGTATATGTAAGGACTGATTTATTGAGAATAACCTATAAATTGATCAGTTAAAACGTTTTATTGAAACATTTAGATAAGAGAGAAAAAAATCTGAAATATTACTTCAAAGATTCCCAGCTTTTCATGCAAGACATTATCATGACAACATCTATTTACACCTAAATAAATGTAATAAAATCTCAAATTCCCTCCATTTATATTTTTGCTTAATTGTGATCTTCATGTTTATAAATGCTTAATCCAGCGAACGTCTAGTAATTTCCATAACACCTTTCATATCATCAAACATAATCCTCAGACTGACAATCATTTGTTTATTCTGATTTTTAACATGAATAAATGTAACTATTTATTGAATATTTGAGTCTTTTATCATATTTATGTATTATACCTGTTTGGATAGCTTTTCAGGTCGTACTGTAATAACTGTATATGTTAGGACTAGCTTGCAAAAGGATGATTTATTGAGAATAACCTATAAATTGATCAGTTAAAATGTATTCTTGAAACAAAAATCTAAAATATTACTTCAAATATTGCCAGTTTTTCATCATGACAACATGTATTTTAACCTAAATAAATGTAATAAAATCTCAAATTCCGCCCTTATTTTTGCTTAATTGTAATTTTCATCTTTATGAATGCATAATGGCCCACTACTTTAGTGATTTCCATAACTGATATCCTGAAGTGTGTGTTCATCCTCCAGTTGAGTCTGGTGTTCTGGAGTGAGCAGATCGAGGTCATTAACGGATGTATAGTTCGGCTCTGACAGCAGCAGATAAGCCGGCCTGTGGGGAGAGGAACGCTTAACTGCGTTAATTAAAGAGCGCTGATAATCCGCCCAGACTGTGTTCACGTTCACAGTGATTCCTGCTTCCTTAGAGCGCAAAACTGCAGTTTAACAGGAGATTCCAGTGGGAAAGAGACTCTAGCTCGTGGATATTTGTATTACACATACACTACAAAAAGTGGCCTAACTGTGGCGCTGCGATATGTGACGATGGCATCCGATTATGGAAGGCCATTCGGGCCAAAATGTGTAAAATTAACAGTGTTAACACCATACCGTATAAAACAAACATAGGTCCTTAAAAATGCTTGAATTAACCCCTTCGCTGTCACCCACCTTTTTGAGAATGGGGGTTAAAATGCACTATTCAAACTTAAATGGTTGTAATTCAAGAATGCTTTTGAATATAGACCCAAGTTTGGTCTTGTTTTAAAGGAAACACTCAGCAGATTATTGCTGAAGTGAAAAAATGACAGTATGAAAAAGTTATGGAAGTTTAAATTTACAGTAAATCAAATATACTGTACTATATATTTATAAAAAATATATATTTTACAAAATATTTTTTACTATAAAATTACTATAAAATCAAAGCCATATATCTAACCAAGTTGTGTTCCAAATTTGAAGTTGATATCACAAAAATTGAAGTTCCCATGAGATTTTGTTTAGGCGTAGTACCAGAAATAGCCACCGGGTGCCATACATTCCATTGAATTTAGTTGTATACATTCTGCCTTAACAAATTAATACATTTCTGTCCAAATATCAATTCTGTCACAAAATTTGGAACCTTGAGACTTAGACCTTTCTGACAATATGTGTTTTGTCAGGATTAGAAAAAGTTTTGATCATAAATTATTAAATATAATGATGCCAAAAAGGGGAGGAGACTGATAAAATAGTTTAGAGTACCGTTTCTATGGTAACGCAACGTTCAATTTCAAAACGGTTTTCGCAGGATGAATTCTGAGTTTGTAAGCTTTCAAATGATACCTAATTTATGATAACTACTAAAATATGTGATGTAATAAAAAAAGGCGATAAAAAAAGATATTATATTTTAGAGGATAATATATATATTATACTTTTTAGAAGATAATATTATATTATAATGTTTTATTGAAAAATACTAGATTATATGTTTTATTATGAACTTTTAGCATGAAAACCAAAGTTTCAATTATTAAAGGTGTGTGCGTCAACTTTTTGTGACAAAGGTCAGAACTCCTGTTATGATGCAGATTTTTTTGAGGTGCACTCTTGTAAAAAATACATCGGTTACTCTTCCTACATAATTTGTAGCAAAAAACAGCAGTCAAATATCTATTTAGGAGTCTTAGACCTTTCCAACCATATATAGTTTGTCATAATTAGATTAGGATTTAATAGTAATATAGCAAAGTAAAGTTAGGCGTCCCGTATACGGGATGGTGACAGTTAAGGGCATGAACTCAATTTTTTGTTAGAAATGTTGCTATTAAAAATTTTGAATACGATATCTTGAATATCATATTCATATGCACAATCATTTATAATCATAAGTTCTTAAAAAATGGTTTAAAGGTTGAAATGAATACATATATTTTTATAAAACTCACTTTTGTCAAAACTTGTATTATTTGAACTGTTTAAATCGTTGTTTTTACACTCATTTTCCATCTTAAAAAGGTCTTAAAAGCCTTAAAAATGATGTATAAAAACCCTGCAGATATCCTCTACAGGTGATTAACAAATAATGCACATTTTTTTTAATGTCCAACAATTACCTTCATTTAATTTAATGTCAAAATTCATGCATATAATATTCTCTCTATGTTTTAATCGAGTAATGATCCATAAAAATGGAAAACTAAAACCAGAGTAAAAATAAATATTAAAAGCAGCAATATGAAAGCTGCAAACCGGATAAAATAGTATAAATAAAAGGTGCTGTAAAAAGCTCTTGAATCGCATGATATTCACACGAGTGCCGACACACACGGGCCACTAGGTGGCGCTGTGTTCCTTCAGACTGTTCTACATGCTTGTTTGTTGCTTGATTTTACTTCACACTTGCTTTTGTCGTTTCCCCTCAAAACTAAATCCTGCAATGTGTCGTGTTCGAAGACTGCAGATAATGATGCTCTCTGATGTTAGACATTTATACATTATTCAGCGTCCTCGTCTCTCACACACATCACTGAAGTGGCATTAGCGTGTATTGATCTCATGTGTGTTTGAAGATTGTCTGTGTCTGAACTTTAACAGATTTACTGATGATTCTGGTTTGTCTGGCAGAGATGTTTAGGACTGTGGCAATGCGTACCAGATACTGGCATCCATATCCATGTGCTTCACATTACAGTATGTTGTTCAGAATGAAATATTGCTGGATACTGCACTATATAATGCATTGCATACCCATTTTTTAAAAACATTGCATTTCTACTTGATGTTGTGAAGAGAAGTATGCATCATTGTTGTTGCATTGCATTTGTAATGTCTATACTTTCCTATAGTACACACACTTGTAGTGCATACTAAGTGTATGAATTGGGACGCAGCCTGACTTTGAAATGTTGCTGATTTCATTTTGACTTGTCAAGATTGAACTCTATCTTCATCATTTCAACCTAAAATTTCAACCAATTACATTTTGCATGAAGAAAATCGGCCTATTTTACGATTTTTTTTTTTTTTTTGCATTGCAACAGTATTTTGAAAAAAATTAAGCACATTTCCATTCCCTTAATGTGTTTTGGAAGCTTGTTTCCGCCACAGAATGAAAAATAAAAAAGGTAATTGCGACTTTTTATCTCACAATTCTGACTTTATTTCTCAGAATTGCGTGTTATAAAGTCAGAATTGCGAGATATGATGTTGCAAAAGCCCTGCTGTTGTCGGCAGTACACTGACCAAAAGTCTTGAGAAAGTGTTTAATTGGCTAAACAAATCATGTTTAACACTTAATCTGAAGAAAACTAAGTCTATGTGTTTTTCGATAAGAGTTTGGACAATAAATGACCTTAACATTAAAATGAATGGCGAACTAATCGATCAGGTAGAACAAGAAAAATATTTAGGAGTGATTTTAGATTCTCAGCTAAATTTTAAAAGTCATATAAAAAACATTTCAAGAAAAATGAAGGCCAGTATGAACTGTTTCAGAAGGATCAGGAGCTGTCTTACATTTGAATGTGCTCATGTATTTCTGAACACTATGATCATGTCCCACCTGTCGTACTGCACCACCGTTTGGTCCCAGACCAGCCAAACTACCCTGAAGCCTATTGAGAGGCTTTATAACCGGGCCCTAAAAATTTTAGATCAAAAGCCCATTCGATTCCACCACTGTAATATTTTAAGTAAACATAAAATCTTAAATTTTGTTAATCTCAGACACATTAAGTTGTTTTTTAAATGTTTAATTGGACTTGCACCTGAGCCACTTTGTAAATTTGTGAACAGGCTGGACTCCTCCAGATCAACAAGAGCTGCTACTCGTGGAGACTGTAAAGTTCCATTTTTTAAAACTTCTTTTGCCCAAAATGTTTTTTCAGTGAAAGGAGCCAATCTGTGGAACTGGCTTCCTACAAATATAAAGATTTTAACTAAACTATCCACCATTAAAAAACTAACAAAAGCCTGGTTCATACAGCAGCAGCAGTGTGATCATGCCATATGAAATGTATATCCGTGTGTATGTGAGGTGTGCATCTGTGTAAGTTCGAGTGAATGTGTTTATTCACTAATTTTATTGGTGCTAACT